AGCCAATTTTGAAAGAGATGCATCTTAGCTCTGGAAATTGTTATTGAATATGTCAATGCTGTTGTAATGAAATGCTTCTTCTAATCTCTATATATCTGATTATTACTAGTCATAGTTGGTTACTTTCTCAGATATTTGTCACGTGAGTGTGGATATAAAGTCATCAGATATATTTCAATGGCAATGTTTTTCACATCTACTAATTAATAAGGAGCAAATTTTTATGCTTTGAAGAATTACTTTTTAAAATTCTTTTAATTTTTTAAAATTTAATAACCACATGATTAGAAGAAGCATTCCATTAGAGCTTTAACATATTTGATAACAATTTCCAGAGCAAAGATACAACTCTTACAAAAGTGACTGTAAATTTTTAGGTTCACAGTTGAATTAATATAGTTAGTTATACAATATTGAACTCAGTATAAGCCCTGTAAGACATAAAATTGAATGAGTTTTTAACCTTCAAAAGAGATTTCCATTTCATTCTAAAATATACTCTTTCTTACAGAAAGACTCTTGTTTTTGCTACTAACACTGAGATGTTGGCGCATGCATCCTTAATCTGTATGTATCTGATTACCATTAGTCATAGTAGGTTGCACTCGGATCCTTGGCACCTGTGTGTGGATATAAAGTCATCGGGTAGATTTCAGTGGTAAAGTTTACCACCTCTGCTACTTCACATGACGTACATTTTTATGCTTCCTCCTCAATTACAACTCAGTTTTTAAATTTGTTGGTTTTTTGTGTGTATATCACACAGAACATCGCAAACAATCGTATTCATCTATATACCCACTTTCCAGATGACTCATTCAATTTTATGTCTTACGGGGTTTATACTGAGTTCAATATTGTGTAACTGTATTAATTCAAGTGTGAACCTAAAAATTTTATAGCCACTTTTGAAAGAGATGTATCTTTGCTCTGGAAATTGTTATGGAGTATGTTAAAGCTGTAATGAAATGCTTCTTCTAAAAAATTTAAAAAATATTAAAAGTAGAACCAGGCATGGTGGCGCACGCCTGTAGTCCCAGCACTTGGGAGGCAGAGGCAGGCAGATCTCTGTGAGTTCAAGGCCAGCCTGCTCTACACAGTGAGTTCCAGGATAGCTGGGGCTACAGGGAGACCCTGCTTCAAAAAGATAAAAAATAAATAAATAAAA